TGCAGGAAAAGTCCTGGTGGCTGGTGGTGCTGGAAAGGTGCTTCATACACATTGCGCAACAGTTAAAACGTGAAATGGCTGAGTGATCAAGAGAGTCTGGCGAAGCAAGCTATGATGCAGCAGCAGAAGAAGAAGAACTGGAAGCAGGAGATGGCCGGTTCCACTGCGGGCCTGATGGAAGCCCTCCGGGGGCCTAATCCGGCCCCCCAGGCCACGTGTTAGACACCCCTGCTCTAGCTCCTTCCATTGTGTAACTACGAGGAGAAAGATATATCTCTGCAACAAAAGGGACTAGAGACTTACACTTTTTAAAAAATGAAAAGCTGGGAATTTAGACAGTGTTAAATTGTTATAACAATATTCATTTGAACAAAAGAGCTCCCCCTCCCAGTGGTGGGCATGGAATGGCTGCCATGGGGACTGAGGCAGGGAAAACGGCTGACATCTGAGTAGGAGAGGAAAAAGCAAATACCTGCGTTGGGCTGCAGTAGAAAACCAAGATTAGAGTCCAGTAGCACCTTAAAGACCAATAAGATGGGGGGGGTGGTAGATAAGATTTCAAGACTCAAAGCTCCCTTCATCAGATATGGGCAGAAATGGATATCCCTAATCCTGGTCAGACAGTGGAAGAGAAGAAGAAGAGAAGAAGAAATTGGATTTATACCCCACCCTTCACTACCCAAAGGAGTCTCATAGCGGCTTACAATCTCCTTTCCCTTCCCCTCCCCACAACAGGCTAACTGACCCAAGGTCACACCAGCAACTGCATGTGGAAGAGGGGGGAATCAAACCCGGTTCTCCCAGGTTAGAGTCCGCACTCCGTCCTAACCGCTACACCAAACTGGCCCTCTACTTCTGTTAATGCAAGTTAAGAGAAAGGTTCAGGGGAGAAAAACAACAGGGGGAAATTTACTAACTACAGTTTAATTTAGAAGACCCAGCTTTGTCAGGCAAGGTCCGATGAGCACAGCCATGGCATAAAGGGAAAGCCTGAGGTCCAGGACCTGGGGAGAGTCTCAGGCTACGATTACAAGCAAAAAGCTAAACGGAACGAGTATCTTGATTTGAAAACCAAGGCAACCCAGCAGTGCCAAACAGGCCTTTGCCAGCACCTGTCTGGGGAGACGGAAGAGATGGAGCAGCTGTTCATCCTTACCGAGCCCTGGGGTATGATAAGCTGGTACAGTCGACCCGGGTGCAGGACCGGGAACCACCGGAGTGCTTTCCCCAGGAACAGCAGCAATACCTGAAATGAGAGCTATGTGAGTCCTAAAGAAGAAGAGCAGATTGGATTTATACCCCGCCCTTCACTACCTGAAGGAGTCACAGAGAGGCTTACAATCACCTTTCCCTTCCCTGCCCCACAACAGAAACCCTGTGAGGTCGGTGGGGCTGAGAGAGCTCTCTCGAGAACTGCTCCTGAGAGAGCAGCTCTGAGAGAACTTTTGACTGACCCAAGGTCACACCAGCAGCTGCATGTGGAGGAGTGGGGAATCAAACCCGGTTCTCCCAGATTAGAGTCCACACTCCTAACCACTACACCAAACTCGCTCTCTAAAGAAGAAATGCCATTTTTACAATAACAGTGAAAGACACAGCGTACTCAAGATGTCCCAGCTACTATTAAACATTTTGCAAAAACAACAGAAAAAAGGAGGAGCGGGAGACTGAGAAACGCATGAAAAAGTGGTGGAGGAACAATGCAGAGAACGACCATCCCCCTTCCTCCCTAAACCAACCCTCGGGTAAGACTCTGCCTATTCACTGCCAACTCCCCTCTCCTTTTGCGCCCCTCGCCCTTACTTCTGGCTCGGCTTCGCTGGGCTCTCCAAGCACAGAGGCACCGAGCCCCTTCTGGACCTCAGCTTCTCCCCTGCACTGCTCCGGTTTACCCATCCAGAACACTGTGGCTTGGAAACAGAGCTGCCGCGCTTGACCGTCTTTGCCTTCGCCTTCCAAAGCCCGCGGGTAGTTGCGCCGCATGAGACCCTCTTTCTGGGTCACCAAAAACAGACGGGACACGCCCCTGGCTTCCCCAGCAATGTTCTCGGAAGGTTCGGGAGGATTCGCTACTGTTTTAGCCCCTTCTGTGTTTGCTAGGTTCCCGCCCGGAGATCTTGGCTCAGCTACAGGGCTCCCGTTGTCCTTTGGCACAGGAGAGGACTCTTCGTGGACTTTGGGAGTCTCGGGGCCTCTTTTTTCAGGAGAATGAAGCAGCTTCACATCCTCGACGTAGAACTGAACGTAAAGCCTAGAATAAGGAAGGGGGAAAGAGAAGCAGTGTAAGCGCAACTACAACTGAATCAGAGACAATGCAGAGAGAAAGTAGCACAGCTGAAGAGTTAAGAAGAGATTGGATTTATACGCCGCCCTGCACTACCCAAAGAACTCTCAGAGTGGCTTACAATCTCCTTTCCCTTCCCCTCCCCACAACAGACACCCTGTGAGGTAGGTGGGGCTGAGAGAGCTCTGAGAGAAACTGCTCTTGAGAGAACAGCTCTGAAACAACTTGTGACTGCAGGGCTTGTTTCTTTCTGTTACAAAAGCCACAAGAGAGATCTATGCCTGAGACACACAAAAGATACCAATCCTGGAGTGTTTAGAAGATGGGTATGGGACACCCAACCAATAGACCTGGATGCTCACAAAGCTTTGCAGCAGAAAAGAAAAATAAGGTGGAGGAAAAACTTTATTCTTTCTTGATCCCAAAGAATCAAGAAATAACAAAGTTTTTCTACACCCTGTTTTTCTTTTCTCCTGCACAGAGCCCCCAGATTAGAGTCCGCGCACTTACCCGCTACACCAAACTGGCTCTCTAGTTTGACCACATCCAGAAGGGACATTCTTACAGCGATCCAGCTAGGGATGCATCACCTTGTTAAAAATAGGTATGGGATAGAGATGCCAGCCACCAAGTGGGACCTGGGAGTCCCCTGGAATTACAGCTCACCTCCAGGCTACAGAAATCAGTTCCCCTGGAGAAAAGGGATGCCTTGGAGGGTGGGCTCTATGGCATTGCACCCGCCACTGAGGTCCCTGTCCTCCCCAGGCTCCACCCCCAAATCTCCATGAGTTTCCCAACCTGGATCTGGCCACCCTATCCCCCATCCCCACCACCACCAGTGGCCGGGGGGGACCCTGGCAATCTCCAGTTCCAGTCTAAGAGAAATGTTGTCCATCTGGAAGAGGGAGCAACAGCAGACGGGCTCCTCTGTTACTGGCTTCTGGATCCGGTACCTAGTCACAGTAAGTGTCAGGCATGCTATCTGCGCTGCCCATCTTCTAAAAAGCAGCTGCAGTGGAGAGGTAGTTGCTTGCTTCCTGTTGTATGCATGCCACAGCTTCTGCAGCCTGCAGTAGCTATGGCATACAACAGGAAGCAGGTAACTACCTCTCCACTGTCTCTAGCTATTGCTATTATGCCTGGCAGCTAATGGCCCCTTGTTATTTGTATCATTCTTGCGAGTTCGGGGGTGGGGGGAGAACAATAGCAAAGAAGCCTCGATAGAGTGGATGGGTCCCATCTTCCCAGTTTCTTTAGTCTGCTAGCTGGAGCAGTGAGTTAATCTAATTAAGATGCTAAAAGCTGGTATAGTCCAGTGACTCACAGTGCCATTCCAAAGGGGACTTACACCCGTTGTCAAGTACTTGAAGGGCTGTCACATGAGAGGATGGTACGGGGTTATTTTCTGTTGCCCCAGAAGGTCGGACCAGAACCAACGGGTTGAAATTAAATCTGAAGAGTTTTCGGCTAAACATTAGGAAGAACTTCCTGACA